CATTTAATTCGTATCATCTAATCGAAATTAGAAACCACTTTACATTTATATGCATATCCATATAAAAAGATAAATAGAAATTCTTTATAAAATAAATGATTTATTTATTAAAATAATAATACATCATTTATTATTCATATTTTACACCATTTCTGTTAAAATTAATGGAAGAACGAAAATAATAATATAACGTCATATATATTATATATTTACGAAACATATCGCGAACATGAATTGCAATGTTTTCTCATTGCGTCTATGTAATATAATATACTATAGCTCACAATACATACAATCATGCTACAAATCACTATACAATAGTCTATTTGTACATAGATTGTCCTTTCATAGTGTCCCCCATCTGTACGATCGCGGTGTCTCCCTTCTAGAAAATTTAACGAATCTGTAATATAGACGTAGTGCTGTAAAAGGCATTGACTTGGAGCATGTACTATTGAAGGCAGCTTCCGTGTATGCCGAAGCACATAGGCAAACTCTTAAAAAGAGACAGACATAGGCCGGTATTCAAAGTCATTGCTTATTCTTAAAATCATTTTAAGCATTTGTTATCCCTGTCTATCCCATGTTTCCAGTCCCTGTCTTGTACAGGAAACAAAGACTTAAGCAAATGCTTAAAACGATCTTAAGAATAAGCAACGACTCTGAACACCGGCCATAGTTTATCTCAATGCTGTCTTTTTCTCGTAGCAATTAGCCACGACCTTCCTCCTTCAAATTGCTTCAGAATCGCTCACTGACAAGTGATATGCAGTCTATATCGTGCTGTTAATGATAGCATGTAGTTAAACATTTAAGCTTGAAAAGCTGCCTCTGTCAGTATATGCTCTAAGGGCATCGGAAGGCTAACGGTAAATTCATGATGTTAATTCGTGCTTTCTCTTCCCTTTCGTCCGCCTAATTCCTGACATACGATCGTTTATCATTGTTAGACAAACGATCATTTAAATAATCACTTTCCTTTCTGTTATATAGTATATTATATTTTCTTTTTATACTACGCTATGTCCCACTGATATTCGAGATAGTTATTCTTTATTTATTTTTCGAATAGATTGCATAGTCGGGGCTAATATAGGTAGTGCTTATAATTTGCCAAAATAAATATAGTCATTTCTATATATCATGTCTGGTATGATAATAGGCTCTTTTATCTTAAAACTGTCTCTCTTTTTTTCCTGCTCAACAGTTATAGGTTTCATAGAAAAATAAAATACATATATTCACCGCTCCAAGCTAATAAATTATACACGTATGTATACATATACCGTATTTGTAGTAGCTGATATCAAAGGAATAGCTCGATCTTATAACATACACAGAATTTTCGTTTGGGAAATAGAAATCACAGTGGTTAATGCCAAACGCAACAACACGTGCAAAATGGAAGTTATGTATATTTATCATATTCGCGTAACTTTAATGAAAACAAGCTAGAAGTTAACGAAACGATATATGTATATTAACAGAAATTATGCGCGCACTGAGTAACGGACTCATCGCAGTATAACGTTTCTTAGATATCCCAGCATACACGAGCTGCATAATTCAATCTCAAACTTTCCACTAATACCTACACGTACAGGAATTCATAAGTTCGAATTAAATGTCCCATATACATGCACAACGTAAATCTGTTTCCGAGATCATCGATCCTTTGAAGTTACGCTGGAAATAATTAAACGACGATAATAATAATAATAATTCACCGATACGACATGGAACGATAGGTATACATCCGAAACTTGCAATTAAATGTCATATGACGGTATAATATAGGACCTCCAATCTGTACTCTATGCGTTGCAAGTGTAACGGTGTATAGAAAAATAATGTCAATCATATGGCTAAACCCGTACTTGTTATGAAATTACAAACTATAGTACGTCATGGATTGTTAAAAAATATGTGTTTGCGAAACAAACACGATATAGTGGCGGAACGACGTGGTATTGTTCATCGTTTCACCCATGTTCCGCGAAAAAACGCAAAATATGGTCGTTTCACACACACGCCTCGGACCTTCGTTAGTTAACTTGTACACCTCTTGACTTCCTGCGTCATATTAAATATTAAAATTGTATACATTCAATATATAGAGAAATGTTTCCGATATGGTACATTAACAGTGAGCTAAGCACCAGAAAAAGATTACTCAAATCAAATACGTAGTTTTAAAAATTACTCAAACTATATATTATGGTCCTCTTCTTTGTTAATTTGTGCTGGCGTTGCTGGTGTTGGGTCGTCGTGAAACAACGGATTTTTCACTTCCATCTCTCCGGTCTTGGCATTAAAGAAATCATTCGAAATTACGTCCCATCCCTAATAACACCCGTTACAAAATACACCCCCCGCTCAAAAGTTTGGAGCATTTTGGGAATGTATTAAAAATGCATTTATTATTATTTCCAATACAATTGGAATATTTAAAAGAGTTCGGCAATCTCTAATTCGTCGCATTCTTGCAGAGGGAAGAATTTTCGAAAATTTATTATAACTGTCATAAAAAATCATAAATCCTAAAAAAAACCTTTTCAATAAACAAATATCAGGCATAATTTTCTATGACCTTTTCTCATCTATACGATCTCGGGATTATAAGTTTGGTCCCAATCATTTTGGACACCCTGTATACACTTAATTAACATTTCCGTGCTAACAGAGCTTAACATTATAAATAATTATTTACAAAAAAAATCGTTATAATAAGCTCCGAACTTTTGAACGGACACGTCCGTGTTATAAAAATACGACTTACAGAAGCTAGACCTGGACATTCGTAAACCGTGTAGTCTCCTTCCTCGTTCTCTTCGTCGCTGTCTGCTTCGGACACGGAGCCTGGATCTCTGCTTGCGGAAACACGACTACACAAATCATTATGCACACAATATTCCCTAATTGGCGCAAAATTCCTTAAAAACAGACATCACTTTTCAATTTTCGGTGGACGTGATCCTCGCAGACAAATTATTTGAACGACTCCAGTGTAATATTCGAATGACTTACTTTTCCATAGCAATAATTTGTTGCTTTTGGTGTTGGAAATGGTACATCTGAGCGGACTGGGCAAGTCTTTGGTCTCCTGAGGGCGATATTTCTTTATTTGGACCGGTCACGCCGTAAGCTGGATATTCAATGTCGGCTGCATCTTTAGTACTTCGATGTATTCTACGAAAGTTAAATAATATCAGTTATATGGGTTACGAGTAGCTCGTTTTTTTGCTTAAAATGTTGCTGATTATATTACCTGTACCATGTTAAAGCAATTAATACGAGTAGAAACACTGAGGCTGCAGTGCAACCGGCAACAACAGCTGCAAGCAGACAGACGATCTCTTTTACATTTATATCGATACGTGATATCGACAGAAGACCGATTGCTCACCGAAGCCGTATATATCATTGTTCAAATCCTGGTTCACAGGTACAAAAACCGGATTGTTTTCCGTGCGCCGCCCGATTTCTGGTATTACGATCATCGACGCGTCCTTAAATTTTGATTCCAACCGCGAGTTCCCCTCACGCGCCGTATGCATTTTCTCAGTCGCCGTGTCCTCCCGCTCCCATTTCGTGTCATTCGAGGGCTTAGTAGTATCCAATTTCTCGGAATCCTCTGCCAACAACATGCGGAAGAATAAAATCAAATCGCGAACGTATCGACACGAATTCGTAGACTGAGAAACATAGTAATTTAACAATAAATTGACTGAGTTCAAGCATACTCTTCACTCACTTCGTTCACTGTAAGACTCACATTCACTAAGATTCGACGAGCGTTCTTCTAACTTGACATACCTAAGAAAAAAGAATTGTCCTCGTAGTATTTCGGGTGGTTGGGTTTCACGGCGAACGGATGTCTCTCGCGCAGATTCGGGGGATCGAACCTGTACGTGAAGTTTGGGAGATCCGCGGACGGTTTATGCATCTGCCTATCGTCCTTCCCGTCCTGGTCGACGGTGCCATCGTAATTTCGGTGAAATTCTTGCAACGTCTCCTCTTTCATTCCCCTGTCGAAATTCGTCTCTTCGTAGGTCGAACGGTCCAACGGTGGCATTCGATTATTATACCCGTAGTCGTTGTCCTGGAAATTCGTATCGTCTTCGTCCGTGTCACTCGGAAAATTGGATAGCTTCAGGTTCGAGTACTCGGAGGGACTGTCGAACGGCGCCTTCGATTCGTAGAAAGGGACGTACAACTCCCTCACTGGTTTTAACTCGTTGATCGGCGGATCGTTGTATTGTATTCGCCGATACTCCCATTCTTTCGGCTTTCTCAGGAGCTCGGTCAAGCTTCCTTTGTCCATCAGGGCTTCGAACAAATCCCTCTGCTTCTCCAAATCTGCATGATACTTTTTGTGCAACGAGGGAAACCGCTGTCTCTGCCCCTCGAGATACCGAATCAGTTCCCTGAGCGCAATGCTCTCCGAGGATTCGGGGATCTCATCTGGAAAATGATGATATTTAAACTGTTTAAATAATGAAATTAATTTTCGTAAACGCGACTTGTTGCGTTCGTAAGTTAACAATCCTCTTAAATAACATTGACGTAAATTATACACCTTCGAGCTATCGGTCTACTTCCGGGTGTTATCATGGAACGCGTACATGGATTTCCTGCGGTTAACAGGCATGACAAAGACAACAGTGCGATTGATAAGCACGCTTATCTAATTTTTATTCCGTTCGACTACTTTCGTCGTTTGTACATGATACGTCATAATATGTGTTTCTAATTTGTAGAAGTCAGTCGTGTATTATAAGTTTATGAGAACCGGTGAAATCATCCCCCGACGTCAGACGCTGCATATACGAAAGCATATGCAAACTCCGAACGGACCCAAACAAAACCTACGCAAAACTTGAAAATCGCTCCTACTGACACGGAGAGAAGTTCAAATCTTAATGAAGAAATAAACTGATTTAACGATCGATCGCTTTGTAATGCTATATAGCGAGTTTCACGCGATCGCTTTCAAACGTTTGTGAATGAGCTCGAGGGAGGATATAATAATAGCGGGAACAAAGTGGAAATAAACGAAAGACAGTCTGCGTCACGATCGACTGCGATTAGACCCTGGGTGTCATTACCCTCTTATGGAGCAGTGTTTTCGGCCGAGCGGATAGTAAGGCTCACCTCGATAAAAATCGAGTTCTCCGGTGGAGAGGGCGACGAGAACGCAGCAGGGTAGCAGCAGCCATGTGCAGGTGCAGAGGGTCGATGTCATCGTCACCGTTTCAACTGGCAGGTGTCGGCCAGGTGTGGTGTCCACAGGTTTTTATCGTCGTCCCGTCCGTCGTCGTTCCATATGTAAGCACGTCATTTCATTGAGGGCAGACAGAGAGTATGCGCGGTCAAGTTCCGTTGCAATCAATACCACCATTACCCTTTCCACCACGACGCCGCTGCCGATGACGGAAAAACCGACGCTTGCCCTTTCGCGAGCTCGTTTCCGTATTCGATGCTGCTTACTGGCTTGAATCCAATACAATTCATATAAACGGAGACGTCACTTGTATCCGATGTAAAACGATGTTTTCTTATTCATTCACTATCTGACAAGACAATCCCGGTTTACGTCGATTATTAACGCGATTTTATTGTAAAACAATTTAATAAAGACGATATTAAAAATGTTTTACAAATACTTTTTGATTTTTACAACGTTTGCATTACTTTCATAATAAGCCTTCTATGATTGGAATGAAATTCTTTAATACCTTTTGATCCGCTTACGTTGTGTTGGACCGCACGCGAAAAGCGTTGGAGAAAACTGACGGTATCGGTTGACTCATAGAACTTGTAAAAATCGATCGGAATAAATAGACGACGTTTAATGTATAGAAGTATTATTACTTACGGAAAGAGTTGGAAATTAATTATAAGTTTATGAAACTTTGTTTCTGTTCCTCTTGAAATCGAAGTCTTTGATGTTATCTGTTATGACTTAGTGCGACAGAATTTCGTCAATCGAGAGAATAACTTTGATAATAACACCTTCGCAGGTAGAGTACAGATCATTGTACCGTCTGCAAAGTATTAACAGCGCATCTGAATCTGTCAAGGATTACGCAAATCGCCATCAACCCACACTTTATTTCTGTCACCTACGATAGTACTCATATATCTCCAATGAATTTTACACCTTTTTTGAATAGATAACAAAATTATCGATTCAGAGGAAGCGCAGATTAAAGTGGAGGAATAAAAAAAAAATAAGAAATGCGGGTAATTTATTAAAAACATTAAAATACTTTATTGCGGTTACAACTTTCAATTTACATCGACGATAATAAATCTTTCATACGTTCAGGAGAAATCCGTATACATTTATTTGTTTTAAAGTGCTCTCTAACATCTTAAAGATTTGAATAGGTCGTTCGACGAACATTTCGATATCTCGAGAAATCAATTCTCGCGAGTTGCGCGCAGCGCGGTGTCGTTCGAACATTTAAATAGTGAAGCGCAATCGCATTAGTTTAATGTCAGTAGACAGACGCGTAACGTTTATAAATTTTCCATATATGTTTGTACTTCGACGGCTCGGAGAATCATTCTCCTTTACATTTACACAAACAGTACTCAATTGATGTCCACAGGTTTCCTAACGATCCGACATAGTTAAATTAAATGATTCAAGGATCGAGGTCACAAGTCAGGGATTCGGCTTTGGAAAATGCGCGCAACGGTTTCTTATCGGCGACTTTCTGTTTTCTCTTCCGATTGACCACCCCATCAGCTGCGTCCATCATTCTCAATATTTGCGTTTGATCGGAGCAATCGACCGGCGCGACGGAAATATCTCTGACGGCTCTAAATTTGCCGCAGTTGTTCAGATGTTCGTTTTCCAAACGGAAAAAGTTCCAAATGAATCTCCTATTGGGAGAGGGTCAGTAATTATATACTTTACAACAGAAAGCAATGAGCTACCCGGTAATTCGAGATTAGTCGTGAAAAATTGAACAAATAAAATACTAGTTCGTAAGCGTACATTAAACTGCGTTAATAGACTCAGCATGCTAAACATGCAATTTAGTGAATGATTTAGAGATAAGAGAAAAATAAAAGGAATCCGTATTTAATGAGGGCTAGGCTCTGTTCGTTTAAATGAGAATGATATGACGATATAAAACAAAGTAGGAAAATTACAAGATGATTATTTCAACAATCACGAAACGCTGTTCGCTCATCGTCAATGTCCTCGTCCTTGCGATCCATAAGATGTATGACCGCCTTCGATTCGTCGGGTTCATTGCGTCTGTAAGGCCCTATGGATATGTCTCGTACTGCTCGAAATTTGCCTACGTTGTACAGGTGTTCGTTTTCCAGGCGAAAGTAATTCCACATGTACCTTCTATCAACTGATTAGTAAGGCAAATTGATATGCAAAATGATACTTTTTTTCTGATAAATTAAAGTTCCTCACGATAAACAAAATTAAAGAATGGTACACTATGATAGGTATGAAGGGACAAATAAAACAAGGACAAAGGTCGAAAACAAATAAAATATTCTCTTTATTACGATATTTATTAGAATCATTAAGTAAACATATATATATATATATTATTTTTTCAGTAAATCTTGCGCGACTGAAATGTAAAACTTCAAATATCATGCAAATGAGAAATATCTTCAAGCATCACTAGAAACGATACACTATGCGTGCTAATATGCTTCGCACACAGAACCGCGGTTTCGAAAATTCTATATTTATTACGTTAGCGATATTAACTTACTTTCTAACTTACCTGAACACTTCTAACGGCGCGACTATCGAAACCATCAGATCTCCGTGTACGTATCCCATCTCGGTAAGCGACAACGAAAATGCCCAACCGAAACGAAGCACGAAATCCTCGATTATCGCAAAATAATAATAGTACTAAAACAATACAAGTAGCACATTGTGTGAACACGTTACTATTTCTATCAATCTATGTGCTGCACTTACAGGAGAAGAATAAACGATTTCTTCCCTGAGAAATTTATTCTCTCCTGCGTTGCTATCGAACAGTCCCCAGTCCAATTTAACGTCCCACGTATACGTGAAACAAGAACTCATGACACTTGCTGTTATCCATAAATAGAAGTATGGATTCTCGGTAGACATCACATAGTGTTCTGCAGAAAGGTGTCTTGTAAGGAATCTTACGATGGTTTTATCGTTATTCGAAAGTTTCAGGTGGACTTACTAGCGTTAGTTAAATGTAAATATGAAAAAACTACAACGAAGAAGCTGGTAGCGTATTTAGCCGCGTTTACGAGATGTGGAAAGGCTTCTTTTGTGTCTCTATAGCGCCGCAGGCATTGTGCGAATCGAAACCATGCTGGCAAACAAGCTACAAACGGTCTCATCGATAGCTCGCGTATTATACACGTTTCCGCATCTATTGAAAAACATGTAAATTAAGTAATTACCAATTTCTATGAAGTTCTACAATGACAATTTATGATACAACTAATTACGAACCAGTAACGTCAGTCCACGAGGAATTTTGGACATAAAAGCAAACGAAATACTGAAAGTCTAAAAACACAGTGTGTAGGGAATTGAGTTGATCGGCGAGCCAAAAATCAGCAAACCCGACGTAGAAAAACGGTGCGCAAAATATTCTAGCCAACACACGAAGCGCCCAAAATCTAGCCTCGTAACGTAAAGTTTTCGTCGGATTGAACAAAAACAAGGCCAATAATGTGTATAACAACATCTGAAACAAGATTAGTGATACATATTTGTTCAATCATTTCATATATTGCAGTCTTACGGGATGAACGAACGGAGGTATCCCTAATGTTTCACTGTAAAGGAAACCCAAAACTGATAGAGACCAAACTAATCCAAACACGCTAGCCAATTCAATGATATGCTGTAAAAGGTATTACATACATCAGCAAATTATTTTTTATAAGCGATACTGAAATACACATATGTATGCCCATACCTGTTCTGACAAGTGATTTCGAGGGTCAAGTTCAAATATTAAAACGTGATTCACGCCAGAAGATCTCCACCCATAAACATTGACTCCCATAAGGAAAAGAAATTGAATCATAAGAAGCGGTCCGCGGTACAATCTGCATAAAACTCGCCAATTGTTGTTGTCCTTAAAACGCGTACCTACGGAATTAACTTTGAAGAATGTGTATCTGAAACCTATGTCTGTGGACGTCTATTAATCCTTATGAGTACCTGAAAGTATTACAGCTATAAGAAGAATGATAAAGGCTCCTGAAAACAACCCAACTTTAAATGTAATCCATGGAGACAGTTGTTCTCCAAGTGGAGGAACTCTTAAACGTTTCATTGCACGTTGCCTGTCCCCCTGTTCCAAATCTCTGGTGACCAATGCCTCTGTTTCTGCGATAAGTCTGTCTATGTCCTTGTGCGTATGAAACATCGCAGTATCTACGTGTTCCGCTCTCCATTTCGCTCCGACGTCGACGTTCAATAACTATGGCAACAATTTCTACTTACTGTGCGAGGAAACATGTTATATGCACATATTTTTCTGTCACTCACTTTGTCGTGCTTTTTCAGTATTTTTCTAAAGCCCGTAAAATTCAGATTTTGATAGTTTTGAAGTAAAATCAAAAAGAGATAGAATTCGGAAAAAGCTAATTTTAATTCTTGCAGTTTGCGTGCTGAGACTGGCTTCTTGTGCAAGATGTTATTACGGTATCTAATTTTATGACTCCCTCGTTTTTCTTCTGAGGCTGTTAAAACTTCGCTCAATTCGTTATTGAGGCTCGCGAATCTGCGCGTTGCTTCTGCTAACTTTTCTGAGGGAACGAGTAACAAAATTGACCAATATTTTTCATGTAGTTCATGAATAGATGAATAGATGTAAACATTACTGTAGAAAATTTACCAGAATAGAATGTGTTTATCTTTGCCAATTCCTTGTCACAATAATGAAAGAATTTCTCATCAAATTTATTAAAATAACGTTCCAACACATGGGATTCGGTTACATCTGCTGCTGGTGCTTGCTCTACTGCTGCATACAGCAAAGCCTTCATTTCCTATATACAGAATAATGTTCTTGTATAACGTGTCGATGCTTTCGATTCTATGATAGAATTAGTAATCGTCAATTAAAATATTGGTGTACAATCGAAAGCGAAACGCATTTTACCTCGTAATTTATGTATTGTTTTCTCCATTCTGGTGTGATATGTGCACACAAGTGCTCAGCAAATTTCATTTTTTAAACGAATCAATTAACGCAGCAACTATTGTAATTGTATTTCACCGAATAGACTAAAGTACGAACATCAGAATTAACAGTTTCGTCAATAAGAATCATCAATTATTCGGGAGAAACAGAAGTTGAACATACGATGAGTATCCGTATGTAGGATTTCTTTTAGGCTATAAAACATACACTGCATTACGAAGTAATGTCGCTATTGTATTTTGCATTGACATACATTTAGCGTAGCACGTGTCTGTTGTAAATTTGAGTGATTAAAATTTAATAACAGAAGTTTTCTATTATTCTATCGTTTTATTAAATGATAATTATTGATAACGTGCATAAGGTTATTTTATCATGTCAACGAGATTAACATTTATGAGATATAAACAAATGCGATGGGTAGGTGAAAGAGCTTATATTAATATATTTAATTTAGTTCTTCTATTATTATCTAATTGTTTTTTTAAGAGGTATATATTTATTTTCTATCAGTATTCAACAAAACAAAGTATGCAGCTCATTCAAAGTGTGGATGAATTAATTACAAACAATGAACTTAAACATAAGCATCATCCAGGTATAAGGAAACCGAGAGAGGTGGAACAACCTAGCTGGCTTTTAAATGCAATTAAAATCATTTTACACGGTAATTACATCAAGAATAGTATATTTTACACTATTGAAATTACTACATTGAGATATAACTTTTATAATTACAGATGAAAAAATATCACAGAATAAACTTAATGAAGATTCTAAGAAACTGGAAGCACACATATTAAATCGGCGTCTTCCTTTAGAAAAGGAAGATATTAAATACAAACTAGACTTAGTTGCATCCAAGTATGAACAAGCTACAGGAGAGTCTTTAAGTGATACAGAACTAGATGACGACCCAAAAGCTATGAAGATTTTTAAAAGTGTTGTGTACAATTGGGAACCAATTAATTATGATAAATACACGAGCTTGACGTACGTAATTCGTAGAAGTGTACCTGAGTATACTGTTCTGTATAAAATTTTTAGTGAAATTGCTAATAGTGACAAGAGCTTTATACCCACCACGTTATTTGACTTCGGTTCTGGCACTGGTACAGTAATGTGGTAAGATACATAAATACTATTTAGTTACTTCGATGACTACTGAAAGTACGTTAGAAAAATACGGGCTTCATTTCATTTAGGGCAGCATCTCAATTTTGGGTTGACTCTATCAAGGAGTATTACTGTATCGATGTTTCCAAACATATGAACAATTTATCTGAATATCTCATAAAGAACGCTACACCAAATATCAACCCAAGCTATATATTTTATCGACAATTTTTCCCTGCGTCACCAGTAGTAAGTATGTAAGTTATGTTACGTAAAAATACTGAAAACTAGTTTTAAACATATTATTTATATTATAGCCAACTTATGACATTGTTGTAAGCGCATATTCTTTATTTGAATTGCCGAACCAAAATGCTCGTCTTGAGATGATCTCGAAATTATGGCAGAAAACTCAACATTACCTAGTTATTGTAGAAAAGGGAACAAACGCTGGATTCACTGTAAGTTATTAGAAATCAATTAATTTCTCCATCATTTAATTGATTTATCTTTAACAGATCATAAACGAGGCTCGAGATTTCGTGCTCAGTCAGAAAAATAAACGCAGCGTACATGTTTTTTCACCAGTAAGTATAATTTATCAGTAATCATTATAATTATTATGTAATTCACATTGATGTATGGTAATTCCAGTGTCCGCACGATTTACAATGTCCTAGGTACACAACTGATGATACCCCTTGCAATTTTGAAATCAATTATATGACATTACGTATTGGTGAAACATGCAAGACCAACAAGGAACGTTATTCGTATGTGGTACTTAAAAAAGGTATTTGTAAACTCTCCCCTAACTGAAGTAAGAAATCATTGTATTAAATAAATTATTACTTATTTTAATAAAAGGCGAACGTCCAGAAAATGATATTAATTGGCCACGGATCGTGAGGCCAGTACTAAAACGTTCCAAACATGTTTTGTGTCGTGTCTGCACGGCCTCTGGAGAGCTGCAGGAACACATTTTTACTACATGGAAGAATGGAAAGTTCGTATCCCTTAAGCTTAAAAGACCAAATCATAAGAAAATCGCGTATGAACTTGTGTCTTGTATTTTTAGAAATACTTATCGCTGCGCAAGATCGAGTGAATGGGGAGATCAGTTACCCTTTCAGCCGGTAGAAATAGAGGAAACAGAGGAAACGAAAGATAATACGAAGAGCACAGAAGAAGAGATAAAGGAGACAAGAGAAGCTGAATGAAATATATTTGTAATTTGAGCGTTATGTAATAAAAAAAAAGAAAACTCAAATTTTTAATTGTTCTTATGTACTTAAGATTCTTTGTTTTAAAGATTCATTTCATTACTTTGAATATAATATAGCCGTTCATTGAACAAACGTTCTATTCATAATTCGCATACCTGAGTGAATTGTGCCTTAAAACTGTTATTCAACAACTTTTGCTTCGAAAAAAGAATAAAAAAGAACTCATGGAGATGAAGAGGGGTATTTAAAAGCCGTCCCCAAGCTGGTCCACGGCCAGTTTTGCTTACACAACAGAAGAGTGCATTTCTCCAGGTGCAAGGTAAGATCGGTTCAAGGATTCGAAGTAGGGATACATACCGGAAAGACCGCTCGGTGTGCTCCAACTTCCACGTGAAACTGAAAGTTAAAGCGTGCACAATTGTACTAAGAATTTCACCTGACTTTAAACGCAATGTCATAAATTAGTCGATGATAGAATTTAGGCGCGAATAATATGAACAATCATTTTCATTTTACTTATTTCTTCATTCGTAAAAAATCGTTAAAAGGCAATTACAGAATAAAAGCTCAGAGTCGAATGACCTGTTGAATCTGTTTTATTATACACGACTAGCCGGTTATTTCGTAGTAAAAAAGAACAAGAAATAGAACGGGTTGCAATACTACTGTGATTGTTTAAAAGAGGCAGAGGTGGTAGAAAGTCGGGAACGGTGGAATCGTAAATATTAGGTCGGCCGCACAGATACAGACGTTCGAAAGTAACCGAGGAGAAGACGGCATACTTTAAAAGTGATAAAGGTCTTAAAGTGTGCATCAGTTACGCAAGAAGTTATGAAATAATACAAGTGAGTGCATGTCTCGCGGTCCTTCCGTATGCAACTTTCTCCCATGAGTCTGCGTATTTCACTTTCTTTTTCAAGTGCGCGATGCAAGGCGCACGTCCCAAATTATTCGAAACCGGATATCGAGGTAATAATCAATGCAATTCCCATCGGAAGAGCATTAATTTATCACCCCCTGTCTCGTTACTTTCTCTTGCCCGGATGCGTGTCAAATATGGTATCGAAAAAAATTTCAGGCGCATCCGATCGTGATCCTTTAAAATGCCGCGTATTTAATCTGGCGATAATTTAAAAATCCGGTATTTATTTCAATGCTTAATAAAAATTATTGTTTTTGCAGTATGTTCTACACGGTGATCCTTTGTTTGATTTTATTATTACTGCTGCTGTACTTAGGATCACGAAAACCAAAAGGATATCCTCCAGGTATAACAATAATAATCTTCCAAGTTTAAAAAAGAAGAATGATAGGTGATCAACTTTAAAGGACTTTTTATTAGGCCCGAGATGGTTACCGATCTTGGGGTGTGCTGTCGAGGTGACTCGTCTTCGCCAAGAAAATGGATACCTGTTTAAAACCTGTTCCGCTTTATGCAAAAGATACGGATCCGTGGTCGGTTTAAAAATCGGTACAGACCGCATCGTAGTCTTGAATGATTACGAGAGTATTAAATCAATGCTCACTGATGAAGATTGCGATGGTAGACCGATCGGTCCAGTTTACGAAACAAGAACCTTCGGATCCAGAAAAGGTATCTTTATCGTTAACACTTTTTAACTCTTGGACAGTGACTGGATTTTCGTTTTTACTCAAGGGTTGATCGTTGTGGATGAAAACCTATGGGTTGAACAAAGAAGATTCGTATTAAAGCATCTTCGTGACTTCGGCTTCGGCCGGAAGAGCATGGCTACGATTATAGAAGAGGAGGCTCAATCGCTCGTCGAGCATTTCAAGAAATTGATCAGTAACGAACTTAAAAATCGAATCAACGAATCAAAAATAAATTGTAACAATAACGATCACGATGACGGACAGATATATAAACTAATCAAGAAGGAAAAAGTGAACGCGTTAACGGATAATCCTTCAACGAATGGAAAGCAACAGAAAGTGAACGATTTGTATGTAAATGCTGACGAGTACGAGGAAGTTAAAATGATGTCTCAATCTTGCCCTACGATGGTGATTCCGATGCACGATGCATTTGGAGTTACCGTGCTGAACACCTTGTGGAGAATGATGGCTGGTAAAAGGTTGCTTATCCTCTTACTCTCAAGTTCCTTAACATTTCGTTTCATTCTTATACTTGTTTAACAACGCTGATTATTTATTCATGCAATAACGTATTGTACTTCCAACTCAGATTCAACCTCGATGACAAGGAGTTAACTCATCTCCAACGAATCCTGACGAAACTTTTAAGGGAAATCGATATGATAGGTGCACCGTTTGGTCATTTCCCGATATTAAGATTCATCGCGCCGGAAATGTCTGGATATAAATCTTTCTTGGAGACCCATCAGCAACTTTGGAAATTTCTGAGGGTGAGTTAGTTAGGAAGTAAACATCCTGAACGATATTAATTAATATCGTTGTAGGAAGAATTGGACGATCACAAAAATACATTCATACCGGACTCTCCAAGAGACTTAATGGATGTTTATTTAACAGTCTTGAATTCCAACAACTACAGCAAAACGTTTTCGGGTACGCAAGTATTAATGAAGTAAAATTTTAAAAGAGACGATATTATTAATTCTAAATAAATCATGTTTTATTTTCAGAGTCTCAATTGCTTGCAATTTGCGTGGATTTATTTATGGCAGGTTCGGAAACTACGTCCAAAACTCTTGGCTTTTGTTTCTTATATTTAGTGTTGTTCCCGGATGTTCAGAGAAAAGCACATGAGGAGATAGACAAAATAATCGGGCGTAGCAGACCACCGACTTTAGAAGACAGAACAAGGTAAAGTAAAAACGAATGATATAACAAAAATTAATATTGAATTGAAAAGCGTAATATATTTGTTAAATGTGACTCTACTGTTTTAGAATGACATATATGAATGCTATTGTCTTAGAGTCGTTAAGAATGTTTATGGGACGAACTTTGAACGTTCCACATAGAGCGCTGCGAGATACTAAGATATTGGGTCATAAGATACCAAAAGTATGTGACGTGATTGGATACGAAAATAATAATATATAAATTCATTTAATTAATCATTTTTCTAGGATACGATGCTCATAGCGAATTTCAATAGAATATTGATGGACGAATCGTGGGGCGACCCGGAAGTTTTTCGGCCGGAAAGATTTATCGATGAGAGCGATAACATTATCACGCCAAACAAGTATTTTCCATTCAGTATTGGTAAATACTTGATAATAACTCATAATAAAAATGTATATTAACGTACTTACCATTCTGACAAATAATTATCTTCTTTTATAGGAAGACATCGTTGTATGGGGGAAAATTTAGCCAGAAGCAATATATTTATCATCACTACTGCGTTATTGCAAAAGTTCACGTTTTCACCCGTGGCTGGCGAGAAACCGTCATCCCAAGATTTCGTAGACGGTGTCACTGCTGGTCCAAAACCATTTAGAGTAGCAATTTCCTTGAGAACGTAATCAAATCCTTTGGTCGTAATTAAACACAATCATTGAATTATAAAATAAGCTGTTATCTCATACATAATAATTAAGTGACATAAAGAAAAATAATTTACTTAGAATAGTACCGCATTAAGTGTTGCATCTTATCATTCAGAAAAATATATTTCGTTTTATATGAAAATACATATATGTGTACATATTTGCGTGTGTATATATATAAGAACCTATACGAAATAAATAAAATATATATATATATATATATTATATATATATATTTACAGTGGTATGTAGTATGTACAATATAACAAGTCGATGAAAAACATGAAAACAATGTACATACGTACAGATTATATCGAAAGTGTTGAATTTTATCCATTGCTAACATGACTTCCCACCGTCGGGTGCGAACACTCTCATTTCTACAAGACTGGCGAACACTACAAATGTCATGTACAGTAACAAGCATATCACGCCGACCTTTTTGTTTAATTCAAAGTTGTAAAACCATATGACTGCATAAAGTACGATTATGCAAGCAACTATCGAGAGCACGCTGTACGACAGCGTTCCCGATTCGATTTTTAAGTCGGTGCCCGTCATCAAACACATTATAGTCCAAGGTAAACCCAGACACAGTAGGATGTCCAGGATATTCGCGCCCAACGTATTACTCATAGCCATATTTCCATCCCCTACGCGGTGGTGGAGTATCATAAAAACCACAGCCAGTTGAGAGGACCAAAACGATAAAAGAAAAGAGAAACAAGAAAGGTGTGAAAATCGAAACCAAAACCGTAACCAAAAACCAAAGCGGAGACTTACCCTTCCTCGCTAAAATCGCTATGGATGCGACTTCCGGCACATTTCCACCGGCGGCAAGAAACGTTAAACCCATGATAGAATCCGGTATTCCTGCGGTTTCACCGATCACAGTCATCATCCAGGAGAGCAAATAGGAAGTAATTCCTATCCAAATGACGCTTACAACGAACGTTATTGGAT